GAGAGCACGAGCAGGGGGAGGAGCAGAGGGAGAGGGAGAAGCAGACTCCCCACCAAGCAGGGAGCCCGATGCAGGGCTCAATCCCAGGTCCCCGGGATCATGACCCGAGCCAAAGGCAGACGCTTAACCAACTGAAGCACCCAGGCACTCCTAAATAAAAATCTTTTTAAAAATTAAAAAAAAAAAGAAAAAATGATATAGCAACATTAATATTTATTACAGCAAACATTTGTATAAGTTCTGTATAATTAATATGTTTTTCTTCATTTCCCAAGAATGATGATATAATGAAAATGACATTTAAGGAAACTGAGATAAGAAATTACCTTACAGAGTAAATATTCCTCGTATGTACCTGATTTCATTCATGTTACTCCTCCCCCATCTCTGTTTGACTAAATGTTAAAGAGCAGTTCCAGTGCCAGCCCCTGCTCCTCAGATCGCTTGTGACTCACCTACGCCTAAACAGAAGTGACTTTTTTCTGTATGGATCCTTCCATAGCATTTTCTTTGACTTTCTCTCTTTTCTCTTACCACTTGCCACTTTCTTTTATTATGGAAAATAAGTCCACATCTTGCATCAGCTACTTTTGGTGATCTCCTTGTAGGAACAGATATATGACTGAGTCATCTTTTTAACCCCAGGGCTTTCCACATTAAGTGTTTATAATGGTTTCCTGAATGAAAATGTTATGGACAAACCACCTTGTGAAACATCACTCCATTATTTTTCTCCTTTCTTTTTCACCTGTTGATTTCTCTCCTACTGCGTGTGTGTTGGGTATCCAGCTAGTCCTTGAGCCAGCACATGGTAAGGTCCGGTAGGCATTAGGTGCTCTGTAAGGGCCTGTTGGATGGATAGATGGAAGAGGTCTACGCTGAGTTCCAGGCCTGTTTCTCACACCCAGCTGCTGCATGTCCCCAGACTCCTCATCAGGACTTCGTCCTATATGCCTCTAATGAACTGTGTAGGAAACCGCTTTGAAACAGTCATATAAGTTATGCCTATGCTGTATAACCTACTATTATTTTACCCAATACATTTCTTCTGGAAATACAGAAACAGCAAATTATTTTTTTTAAAGATTTTATTTTGACAGAGAGAGAGAGCAAATTAATTTTGTAAGAATTATTATATTTGGGGCGCCTGAGTGGCTCAGATGGTTAAAGCGTCTGCCTTCGCCTCAGGTCATGATCCCAGGATCCTGGGATCGAGTCCCGCGTCGGGCTCCCTGCTCTTCGGGAAGCCAGCTTCTCCCTCTCCCCCTGCTTGTGTTCCCTCTCTCGCTGTGTTTCTCTCTGTCAAAAAAATAAATAAAATCTTAAAAAAAAAAAAGAATTACTATATTTATAAATCAAAAGAATATAGGTACAGGGCGCCTGGGTGGCTCAGTTGGGTAAGCGACTGCCTTCGGCTCAGGTCATGATCCTGGAGTCCCGGGATCGAGTCCCGCATCGGGTTCCCTGCTTGGCAGGGGGTCTGCTTCTCCCTCTGACCCTCCTCTCTCTCATGTGCTCTCTCTCTCTCAAATAAATAAATAAAATCTTTTTTTAAATCTTTTTTTTAATTTTATTTATTTATTTGACAGAGAGAGATAGCGAGAGCAGGAACACAAGCAGGGGGAGTGGGAGGGGGAGAAGCAGCCTTCCCGCCAAGCAGGGAGCCCGATGTGGGACTCGATCCCAGGACCCTGGGATCATGACCTGAGCCGAAGGCAGACGCTTAACGACTGAGCCACCCAGGCGCCCTAAATAAATAAAATCTTTAAAAAAAAAGAATATAGGTACATACTCTTGTCTGGTAATTTTTTTTTTTTGTAAACAGTTTAAATGATACCTAAACATCTTTAACCAGAGACAAGTAATGCACTGATTACTTCCTTTGTTGTACAATCTTCTATTTTCTCTGAAGTTGAAAACAGCATCGTTTTTCATTTGCTTACTTTTCTATGTATCATCCAAATGTTCCAACAGCTGTATTAAAGGCCTCTCAGCATCACTTTCCATGTATCATAAGTATCAGAATAATCCATCACAAATCAATGTTTTTTAAGATTTTATTTTTAGTAACCTCTACACTCAGTGTGGGACTCAACCGACTAAGCTAGCCATCTACCCCCATCAAATTTTTTAAATACTTAAGCGTTGAAAGAAATTCCACCGTATTTTTTCGGAGTCACTAGCCCAGCTTTCCTTCCACGGGAGTTCCTAGGGTCAGTCTCTTAGCGCGTTTCTGCATTTCATCTAATCCTTCCCCAGCCCTGAGAAGCAGGCCTTACGACACTTCACAGGTGACGAAGCTGAGGCTCAGAAAGGCCCAATGACCAGTCCCAGCTCGCGCGACAAAGGGATCCTCGTTGCCCCACAAAGCTCCACACTCCTCCGCCCCCGTCCGCCTGGGCTTCGCAGAGGGCCACACCGCTCCCCCCAGCCTCCTTTCCGCTGCCGCCCACCGCGCCCTCATCGGCCACGCCCCTTCCCCCCTTGGCCAAGACCCGCGCTTCTGCGCTTCCGGTGTGCGAGTGCTTCCGGCGTGTGCGTGCGGTTCTCCGCGCGGTGAGCCCAGGCGTGGTGTGGAGATGGCTGCCGGCGGTAGCGACCCCCGGGCCGGCGACGTAGAGGAGGACGCCTCACAGCTTATCTTCCCCAAAGGTGGGGGTGGCGTTGCCTCGGGCCTGGCGTTGCCCACGCCTCGCACAAGGCCTGGCCGTGGCAGGCAGCCGGGCGGGTCGCCGGCGCGGAGAGGGGCAGGGAGGCTGGGGGATGCGGCCATGGGAGGGGCCCGGGCGGGCACCGCCGGGATGCCTCGAGAGAGGCCAGTTGGATTCCACGCTTGCTGCCCTGGAAACTTAGGCGCCCAGCTCCACGCTGCCCCTGAGCAGCCTCTTCCTACTCGTTTAAGTAACTTACTATATCTGATAAACCGCGAAGTGCTGCAGGGATGTGGCAAGGATGAACAAAGCGGACACTAGTTACAGTGGTAAGGACAGATTTTAATAAGTAATACACGAATTGTAGGGGCGCCTGGCTGGCTCAGTCCGTAGAGCATGCTAAGTCTTTTTCTTTTTTACTTAGTTATTTGAGAGAGAGAGCATGGGGAGCGGGGGAGAGGCGGGAGGCAGAGGGAGAGGGACAAGGAGACTTCCCGCTTGGCGGGGAGCCCTACCCGGGTCTCGATCCCGGGACCCTGAGATCATGACCTGCGCCAAAGGCGGACGCTTAACGCCGGATCCACGGAGGCGCCCGGAGCTTGCTAGTCTTGATCTCAGGGTCATGAGCCTGGGCACGGAGCCTGCTTTTAAAAAAACAAGTAATACTAGATTGCAATAGGGAAAAGAGGCTAGTGTGTACTGAACTCAGTTTCGATTTGAACAAAGGTGACTAGGCATTTTAAAGGAAGAATGAAGGAGTGGAGGGGTTAGCCACGTCTCGGTAGGATCAAGGAAGTGAAAAATTACAGAAAGCGGGAAGGGGGATTGATTGGTCCGTTTGAAACCCATTTGGGTTTGTCAACTGGCGCTTATGGAATTTAGACTTATGCTCTCCCACAGCACTTTCTCTGAACTGAGAGGGGCCCTATCTTCAGGTGTTGGCTGGGACAAACAGTAAATTATTTTTAACAGTGGCTGTCAGTTTTCACTGGCAGGCGCTTTAAAGGGGCTAGAGTCCAACGTAGGAATGTGGTCTTGAGCTGTTAGAAATCATGTTAGTATTTTGTTCATGTCTTTTTGGGCCAAAGTTGAAGCCCCAAACCAGGGCTCAGAGGAGCCTGGCTAGCGTTTGGTCAGGGTCTTTGTCGGATGGGCTACAAGTACAGCACATTTCGCTAGCAGCGAACTTCCTTTGTGCAGTGAGCTGTACTTTATTTGTAATTTAGAAACCGAAAATAAGCACGAAGCTTAAGATTTTTAAAATACCGTATTTTGCAGGTACTGGAAAATGTAAATAGGGGAAACCTTAACAATACCCACCTGTTTTTATTTTATTTTATTTTTTAAAGATTTTATTTATTTATTTGACTGAGAGAGACACAGCGAGAGAGGGAACACAAGCAGGGGAAGTGGGAGAGGGAGAAGCAGGCTTCCCGCCGAGCAGGGAGCCCGAAGCGGGGCTCGGATCCCAAGACCCTGGGATCATGACCTGAACCGAAGGCAGACGCTTAACGACTGAGCCACCCAGGCGCCCCTAGCCACCTTTTTAAAATTATTGTATACACAGTAAAAAAAAAAAAAAGTGAAACTCTACACCCTTTCACCCAGAGGCAATACTGTAAATGATTTAGTATTTGTCCTTCCAAACTAATTTTATGTTTATTTATAAATAAATATATACATACGCCTTTTTATTTGTAAAAATGGGATTATGCAAAAGGAATGCTATAGCCTTTTAAAAATTTGACGATATATTGTGTAGTCCTTTTTCTTTCTTTCTTTCTTTCTCTCTCTCTCTCTCTCTCTCTCTCTCTCTCTCTCTCTCTCTCTCTCTCGGCCCAATGTGGGCTTGCACTCACGACCCCGAGATCAAGTGTCACATGCTGTACCGACTAAGCCAGCCAGGCATTTCGTCCTATTCTTTTATTTCTTTTATTTATTTATTATTTTTTAAGATTTTATTTGTCAGAGAGAGCGCGTGCGCACAAGTAGGGGGAGCAGCAGGCAGAGGAGGCAGAACAGGCTGTGGGAGAAGCAGGCTCCCTGCTGAGCAAGGAGCCAGAGGTGGGGATCCCAGAACCCTGGGATCATGACCTGAGCTGAAGGCAGATGCTTAACCAGCTGAGCCACCCAGATGTCCCAGGTTTTTCTCTTTAAACCTAGTTTTTAAAGTTTGCTCACTGGTATTCTTACTGGTCAAGAGGATTATTTTATTTTAAATGAGTATCAAGGGTGAGCCCAAATGTCCATCGCCTGATGAATGGATAAAGATGTGGAATGGAATGTTGTTCAGCCATAAAAAAGATTGAAATCTTGCCATTTGCAATAATATAGATGGAGTTAGAGACTATCATACTAAGCAAAATAAACCAGAGAAAGACAAATACCATATGATTTCACTCGTACACGGAATTTAAGAAACAAAACAGATGAATGGGAAAAAGGGGGCAAACCCAAAAACAGACTTAACTATAGAGAAAAAACTGAGGGTTCCTGGAGGGGAAGTGGGCAGGGGGAATGGGTTAAATGGGCGATAGGAATTAAGGAGGGCACTTGATGGGTCTCATGTGTAAGTGATGAATCACTAAATTATATACCCGAAAATAATAATATACTATATGTTAACTCACTGGAATTTAAAAAAAAAAAACTTGAAGCTAGAAAAAATAAATGAGTATCAAGATTTGTGTGATGGTAAATATTTGAAGTAGGGTTAATAGGGAAACTACATTATAAGATTATGAAATCTAGAGGGTAGGGACTTCTGACACAGGTCCAATGCCTAGTATGTAATAGGTGGTGATCTGGGTGAATGAGTAAATAACAGATTTGTACAGGTACAAAAACAGAATTTGGGATGCATTATTTTTTTTTTCTTAAGATTTTATTTATTTATTTGACAGAGACCCAGTGAGAGAGGGAACACAAGCAGGGGGAGTGGGAGAGGGAGAAGCAGGCTTCCCACAGAGCAGGGAGCCCGATGCAGGGCTCAATCCCAGGACCCCGGGATCAGGACCCGAGCCAAAGGCAGACGCTTAATGACTGAGCCACCCAGGCGTCCCTGGGATGCATTATTAATGTGTGTTTCCAAATACTTGGCCCTCCCTAACATGTAATAATTCTTAAAATAGTATAATATTAGTATTATGGAACTAGATTATCAGCTCAAGGAAGCTAAAGAGAATTGTTGGCTGTGCTCTATTTTGAAATCAGTAACTGGCCTCATTGAATAGTGATGTGTCATTATTTAATAGCACATCCAGGTCAGGTTCTTTGATGTTAGAAACTTTCTAGCCAGACTGAGCTAAATTTTAGTATCTTATGAATGCTACTGTGCCTTGTGGTACATCAGTCTGGACGACAATAAAGCTGTGGGATATGAGGCCTCTGGATTTATGCAGGGACAAAAACTTGCTGTTAGTCTCGAGGCAAAATGAACATTTAGACGCTCTTTTGAAGGAATATTTTCAGCTGACATTTGCGCTTCTCACAAATAGAGTTTGAAACAGCTGAGACACTACTAAATTCAGAGGTTCATATGCTTCTGGAGCATCGAAAGCAACAGAATGAGAGTGCAGAGGATGAACAGGAACTTTCTGAGGTCTTCATGAAAACTTTAAATTACACAGCCCGTTTCAGTCGTTTCAAAAACAGAGAGACCATTGCCAGTGTCCGTAGGTGAGTGCTAAAGAAAGTTTTTATTAATCCATACTGTTGGACATCTGCATGTAAAATGCTTTTTCCTCCACCACCACATGGTGGTGGGCATCATCTGTACCATTAATATAAGAAAAATAATGTCTTTGTCAGAAATTTAAAAACTGCTTGTAAGACCAAAATTCTCTTTGGCCACCTTGCCCTATACCTGAAATTCCAGTGATCATCCTGCACAGTAATCACTGTTAGTTTATTCTTGGTCTTCCAGATCTTTGCCATGCGTTCACATACATACATTACACCTATAAAAAACACATAGCAGTGTTTGTGGGTTTGTTTGTTTTTTTGTTTTTTTTTTAAAGATTGTATTTATTTATTTGAGAGAGAATGAGAGAGAGAGCACATGAGAGGGGGAGGGTCAGAGGGAGAAGCAGACTCCCTGCCGAGCAGGGAGCCCGATGCGGGACTCAATCCAGGGACTCCAGGATCGTGACCTGAGCTGAAGGCAGTTGCTTAACCAACTGAGCCACCCAGGTGCCCTTGTTTGTTTTTTTTTAATAAAGTGGGTTTATTATTCACCTGAAATGTCTTCAAGATCTTTATATGTTAATAAATATAAATCAGGAGCATTCTTTCTTAATCTTTGCTCTGCCTCAGACGGCAGCTTTTAGCATTTTTTCCTAAGGCATTGCTTCTCAAATTGGGTCAGATGTAACCTGGAAAACAGTGATGTGCTAAGGCATATAGGAGGTCATGGGAAAAACACATCTTCAGGTATCAGTTTTATTGATGGTAGGTGATTTAAAACATTTCTACATTAAAACGAACAGATACCAGCATATTATGGAATAAAACAAAAAAATGTATGTGAATTCTTGAATTAAATTACAAGACTTAAAACCTTGCAGATGCAGAAAGTCATTTGAGCCTGTGCCCCCAGGTCGCCTAGGGATACTTGTTTGCTCTGCTCCAGTGAAAATGCTTGAGAAATACTGTCCTTAGGAAGAGCTGGTGTACAAAAAAGATGTACATACACAGATACTTTTCAAAGAGCCATTTATAATAGCCAAGTTTGGGGGGGACCCTGAAACATTCAACAGTAATTAAATTGTGGTAAATAATTTGGTGAGATAATATATTGTCATTCAAATTGTGTTAGAAAATGAGTGTTCACATCTTAAGTGTGCAGAAAATGAAGGTGATGAGATTATATATGAAGTGTATATATATATATAATTCTAAAGAGCAAGTGTGTGTATGTTCTAAAAAGTGTGGGTGTACACATGGAGAAAAGATTGGAGAGAAACATGCAGAGCTTCTTAGCAAAACTACAAGTTGTTGGGCCTAGGAGATGACCTGGACATATTCATGAATAAAAGATCTCAGTATTATAAACATGTTGGTTCTCCCCAAATTAATGTGTATATTTAGTGCCATTCTGCAGCCTCAGGGGAATGGAGGGGTGGCTAATAAAATGATCTTAAATTTGTAGGAATTGTCAGAAAAAATTTTTTTAAGAAAAATGAAGGTGGGCGCCTGGGTGGCTCAGTCAGTTAGGCGGATGCCTTTGGCTCAGGTCGTGATCCCAGGGTCCTGGGATCGAGCCCCGCATCAGGCTTCCTGCTCATTGGAGAGCCTGCTTCTCCCTCTCCCTCTGCCTGCCACTCTGCCTACTTGTGCTCTCTGTCAAATAAATAAATAAAATCTTTTAAAAAAAAAATGAAGTGGGGGGAGGGAGTGCCTGGGTGGCTCAGTTGGTTAAGCGTCTGCCTTTGGCTCAGGTCATGATCCTGGGGTTGTGAGATCAAGCCCCAAGTGACGCTCTATGCTGAGCATGGAGTCTGCTTAAGATTCTCTCTCTCCCTCTCCCCACTGCACATGCATGCTCTCTCTCTCTCGCTCTCTCTCTCAAAAATAAATCTTTTTTTTTAAAGATTTTATTTATTCATAAGAGAGAGAGAGGCAGAGGGAGAAGCAGGTTCCCTGCTGAGCAGGGAGCCCGTTGTGGGATTTGATCCCAGGACCCTGGGATCATGACCTGAGCCAAAGGCAGACGTTTAACCATCTGAGCCACCCAGGCGCCCCCAAAAATAAATCTTAAAAAAAGAAGAAGAAAATTCAGCTACAGATTCAAATACAAATTTATTTTATGTGAGTCCAGTATATGGTAAAGATGGCAGTATAATTTAGAGAAGAAATATCTTTAACAGATTGTATTTATTTATTTGTTTTAGAGAGCAAGAGCACGCACGGTGTTGGGGGGTTGGAGAGGGGGAGAGAGAATCTTAAGCAGGCTCCCCAGCTAGCGCAGAGCCCAACGTGGGCTCATCTCACCACCCTGAGATCATGACCTGAGCCAAAATCAACAGTTGGACGCTTAACCAATTGAGCCACCCAGGCCCCCCTAGAGGGGAAATATTTTAAAACAAAGTTCAAACACTATACCTTATACCAAACTTGACTCCTGAGGAATTAAGGATTTGAATGTAAACCATGGTGAGTAAAGTGCTGTGTGATAATATGAGTAAGTACATGTATTATTTTGGCTGTGGTTAGTAGGACTTTAAATGGGGGGAAACTTGATTGACTAGTTGAATGTAAGCTTTGTGAGGGCAGGAACTTGGTTATATTCATCACCTCACTGTAGGCACTAAATAATGAACAAATGAATTTGCATAAATATCTTTAAACTTTGCTACATAAATGCCATATGCAAAATGTAAGTATAAATAAATGGGGAAAGGACTGATATCCTTAAATTTTTTATATCCTTAATATTAAAAGCTCGAGCAAAAAATTAATAAAGAGATAACACCAGTTTTTAAAAATGGACACAGTCTCCAATTAGAGGCTCAATTTGAATGAGAACTTCAAATGGCTAGCTAATTCTCATGAGATAATGCTCATCTTCAAGGAAATCAAAGAAATGGTAAAAGAGCTAAGTAGATTTGAAAAGACTAAACAGAATGGGAAACCTACATGTAATGAGTAGGGGAAATGGGGAAACAGGATTTATTGTTGGTGGAAGTGTGTACTGGTGAAGCAGTTTTAGGGCACTGTCTCTTGAGACTCCTATGCTTTGACTGGATAATTTGACTTCCAGGAATTTATCTTTAAAACACATAGTAATCAGTCAAGTACACAAGGAAGTATACATGGTGTTAAAAAAGCATTATTTAGGGCGCCTGGGTGGCTCAGATGGTTAAGCGTCTGCCTTCGGCTCGGGTCATGATCCCAGGGTCCTGGAATCGAGTCCCGCATCGGGCTCCCTGCTCCTTGGGAGCCTGCTTCTCCCTCTGCCTCTCTCTCTCTCTCTGTCTTTCATGAACAAATAAATAAAAAATAAAAAAAAAAAAAAAGCATTATTTAAAATGGTGAATTAGAGGGGCACCTGGGTGTCTCAGTCAGTTCAGCATCTGACTCTTGCTTTAGATTTAGGTCATGATCTCAGGATCATGAGAATGAGCCCCACATGGGGCTCTGTGCTCAGCGGGGAATCTGCTTGAAATTCTCTTCCTCTTCCTCTACCCGTCCACACTTGCTCTCACTGTCCCTCTCAAATAAATTTTATTTTTTTTTAAAGATTTTATTTATTTGACAGAGAGCACAAGCAGGGGGAGTGGCAGAGGGAGAAGCAGGCTCCCCTCTGAGCAGAGAGCCTGATGTGGGGCTTGATCCTAGGACCCTGGGATCATGACCTGAGCTGAAGGCAGACACTCAACTGATTGAGCCATCCAGGTGCCCCTCAAATAAATTTTAAAGAGAGAAGACTTGATTTTTTAAAAAAGATAAAAAATAAAAGGGTGAATAATTGGAAGCAGTTGAAATGTTCAACAGCAGGAAATTTGATAAATAAATTATGGCACAGCCTTTCAGTGGGATGCTATGTTCAAGGTGGAGTTACTGTGTACTAATGTGGAAAACAGCTACTGTGTTGTTGAGTGAAGAAAGACCAATCACAGAATAACGTTTGTTATAATTCCTTTTTTTTTTAATTATACTCTCAGTTTTTTGTTTTGTTTTTTGTTTTTTTTAATGTGAAGAGGAAGGGAAGGGGATCTCCATGAAAATGTTAATGCTAGTTATTTCTGGGTAGAATTTCAGGTTATTTTCACCTTTTGGGGATTTCTTTTTTTTTTTTGAAAGATTTTATCTATTTATTTGACAGAGAGAGCGAGAGAGCACAAGCAGGGGGAACAGTAGAGGGAGAGGGAGAAGCAAGCTCCCCACTGAGCAGGGAGCTCGATGCAGGGCTCGATCCCAGGACTCCGGGATCATGACCTGAGCCGAAGGCAGACGCTTAACCATCTGAACCACCCAGCCGCCCCTTGGGGATTTCTTTGTATTGTTTATAAATGAGCATATATTCATTTTACAACAATCCTCTCCACACAGATACATACACTACTTTATAAACCTCTTCCCATGTAACTAAGTTTATAGTATTTTCTTTAGTAAATGAATATAGCTTTACTAAGTGACAGAAAGTTATGAAACAGAATGTGTGTTTATATTCTAAAACAGAAAAGTGTTTGGAATGGTACACTAAGATAATTACATTGATTTTGTGTAAGTAGTGATATGGGCAGCTTTTATTTTTCTGTCCTGTATTTTTGAAATTTTGTATAACTAATAGACTTGTAATAGAATGATAAACACAGTAAATATTTTGTTTCTGGACAGATAATTAAGGTCTTCTCTGAAACCAGATTTACCATGGATGAGAGCTATTTTTTTTTTTAAGATTTTATTTATTTGAGAGAGAGAGAACAGAGGGAGAGGGAGAAGCAGCCTCCCTACTGAGCAGAGAGCTCAATGTGGGACTTGATCCCAGGACCCTGAGATCATGACCTGAGCCAAAGAAAGGCAAATGCTTAACCAACTGAGCCACCCAGGTGGCCCGGATGAACTCTATTTTAAGAGCTAAATGTGGGGGCGCCTGGGTGGCTCAGTAGTTAAGCATCTGGCTTCGGCTCAGGTCATGATCCCAGGGTCCTGGGATCGAGCCCTGTGTCAGGCTCCAGCCCTGTGTCGGGCTCCCTGCTCAGCGGGAAGCCTGCTTCTCCTCCTTCTCTCATTGTCTCTCTCTGTCAAATAAATAAATAAAATCTTAAAAAAAAAAAAAAGCTAAATGTGTAAGAAACCAAGATAGGATTTGACAGTGTTTTATACGATTTCGACTAGAAGTACATTTTAAATAAGATGCAGTTTATACGTATTTGTACAAAGTAAGGTATGCCTGTATTTATTTTTTAGATTTTTTTTGTTCTGTTTTTGTTTTGTTTTAGATAAGTTTAAAAGAGAATTTCCTCCAAGTCAAAATATACGAACATCATGTGTTTGACATAAAATTAATGACGAAAGAAAGAAGGCAGAGTGATAAGAGCAGAGAACAGCAAAATAAATTCTTAGGGAAAAGGTTGTATAGTCCATAAGGTATATAGTGGTTTTTCAAAAGTTATAATAGCAAGGGGTTCTCAGGCCTGATGTGCTCTTCTCACTTTTGTTGTCTGCCTGATTTCATTGTAACTTCTGTTCTCCAGGAATAGGAACAGGAAATGATTTGAAAGTGGGATATTGCAGCCAACCTAACCATATAGAAAGATTGCAAAGTGCTTTACTTGTTTCTTACTACCTTTGATTCTTTTTCCTACTCATCATTCTTTGATTTTTGTTTGTTTTGACTTTCTTCCCACGGTTAGCTTGTTGCTGCAGAAGAAGCTTCATAAATTTGAGTTGGCCTGTTTGGCCAACCTTTGCCCAGAGACTGCTGAGGAGTCAAAGGCGCTGATCCCAAGGTTAGTACAGTCACTGTGCTAAGTTCTGTATATTAAATTCCTACAAGTAGAATTTCTGTTTCTAAGAGGTGTGTACATTTAAAATTGGTACAGATAGCACCAACGTTGAATGGAGTGCCTTTTTTAACAGGGTACGAAAATGATGGTTTTATAGCATACCAACTGTTAGCAAAAATATGGAACAGCTGAACTCTCACACTGGTGGTAGGACTGCAAATTAGTAGAGTCACTTTGGAGAGCAATTTGGCTACATCTAGTAGAGTTAAAAATGATTATACTCTGTGACCCAAAAAATCCATTCCTGGGTACATGCCTAAAAGCATCTCATGCAGTTCCATAAGAAGGCATGTATTGTAATGTTCATTACTGCAGTGTTAGTGATAACAGAAACTTGACAGTCTGTCAGTAAACAAGAGGATGGATAAATCATTTATGTAGCAGTGAAAAAATTAATGAACTAGAACAACATGGAATAATAACAAATACCAAAATCAATTTGGAGTGAAAAAAATTGCAGAACGATACACATAGTATGATGCCATTTCCTATAAAGTTTAAAAACAGTGCTGCGTATGGCTTATAGATACATTTACATATGTATATAGTAAGTATAAAAATATGTATAGAAATGATAAATACAAATTTAGGATAATGGTTAATTCTGGGGAAGGTATTGCGATGGGGGGAAGCATACACAGAGCCATTAATTTGTTCCTGTTGTGGTTATTAAAGAAATCTAAATCAAGTAGGGGTAACTGTTAAGGTTAACTTATTTTCTATACTTTCTTAAATCTTGAAACACTTCATATGTTTTCAAAAGGAATGGCAGAGGGCGCCTGGGTGGCTCAGTCGGTTAAGCGACTGCCTTCGGCTCAGGTCATGATCCTGGAGTCCCAGGATCGAGTCCCGCATCGGGCTCCCCGCTCAGCGGGGAGTCTGCTTCTCCCTCCGACCCTCCCCCCTCTCATGTGCTCTCTCTCTCTCTCATTCTCGCTCTCTCAAATAAATAAAAATCTTTAAAAAAAAAAAGGAATGACAGAAATACAACTGAAGGGTAAAAGTATATGTTTAGAGGAGAAGTGGGCAAGTGGTGCTCAAAGATTAGCTTGTGTTAAAAAAGAGTATATTGTTAGTCACTGAGACACTCATTTCTTTTCGTTTTCTTCTTGTAGCCTGGAGGGGCGGTTTGAAGATGAGGAGCTACAGCAGATTCTTGATGATATCCAGACCAAGCGCAGCTTTCAATATTAATCTCCAAATACCACTCTGCTGCTGAGGGAACTACATCCCAAGCCCAGCACCACTGTCCTGATGTCTGGAGCTGACTTACACAGAAATTCCATTGCACTTGGGCTTCCTTTGGATAGAACAACCCAGCTTGGTCTTGGTTTAGGTTGCTATTTCAGATTTGACTATTGGACCATGATAACCTGACCTTGCCTCTGGGAAGGGTGAGGTGGGGTGATATGCATATAAGCTACACTTTTGACTACCTCATACCATGGTTTTGGCCCCTGTGTTATTTTTAAGTTTTTGTTTTGTTTTAAGTTGTTTTTTTTTTAAGTAATCTCTATCCCCAATGTGAGGCTTGAACTCAGTACCCCAAGATCAAGAGTGGCATGCTCCACTGACTGAGCCAGCCAAGCACCCCTTTTTTAAGATTTTATTTTTTTAGCCCCTGTGTTATTTTTGATTCCTAAGATTTCATGTTTTAATTTCAATGTGTTTGTAGTTTTTGCAACTACAGGAAACAACAGTCTTACCTAATGCAAAAGGAAGAATTAAGGGGCACTTGGCTGACTCAGTTGGTAGAGCACGTGACTTGATCTCGGGGTAGTGAGTTCAAGTCCCACATTAGACATGGAGCCTACAAGCAAAAACAAGCAAAAAACCCCAAACAGGAACCCCAAATATAAATGCAAAAGGAAGAATTAAACCAGCCCTGTACCATCATCTGAAATCCTTACAGAAAGGGTGATAGTGCTAATGACTGTAAGACAGCATTGGCATCATTGTGCTTAACCCAGAAGTCAAGGAGGAAGGTCACCATGGAAAGCAGTTACACTGAGGATAACTGCCAAGCATGGAGGGCCCATACATAGCCTTGAGGTACATCAGTACTTGACCTTTTTTCTTGGACTGTTGAAGAATGTAGATTTGGAGGCAGTGGTCCTAAAGCACTGTATTCTCACTCCTAAAGATTTTTTTTTCCTTCAGAGGACAGACTTGAAGGTCTGAATACTTTATTCAGTCCAAACCTCTGTCTTGCTATTTAGCAGCAGATGATCTCTGTTGGGGGTGATTTGGAAAGAGGGAGCCTGCCCCTTCCTGGGCCACTACAGTGAAGTCACTCAACGTAAAGCAAGTTGGGGGAGACTCTTTAACAGCTAAACATTCTAGCTTTGTGCAGTGGCAGTATCTTAGCCAGTGAGCTTTGTCCAAGGTGCGATTGTTGCTAACTGAAAGGAAAAAAAAATAGCTAAACATTCTAGCTTTGATTTTTCTGAAAGGAAATACGCCTATTTTTTTTCACAATTTGTGGAGATTTTTCTTTGGAGTACTTGTTGGCTCCAAATGAATGCATGATCCAAAAAAAAAAAAAAAGGAGAAATAACAAAGTTACCTTTTTTTTTTTTTTAAGTAGGTTCCAGGGACGCCTGGGTGGCTCAGTCGGTTAGGCATCTGCCTTCGGCTCAGGTCATGATCCCGGGGTCCTGGGATCAAGCCCCACATCGGGCTCCTTGCTCAACAGGAAGCCTGTTTCTCCCTCTGCCTGCCATTCCCTCTGCTTGTGCTCGTTTGCTCTCTCTCTGACAAATAAAATCTTTTTAAATAAATAAATAAAGTAGGTTCCACACTCAATGTGGGTCTCAAAGATGGAGAGATTGAGTTGGATGCTCTACCAACTGAGCCTGCTAGAGGCCCCAACAAAGTTAGCTTTAAAAAATTAAGATGGGGTACGCCTGGGTGGCTCAGTCGGTTAGGCATCTGCCTTCGGCTCGGGTCATGATCTCAGGGTACTGGGATTGAGTCCCGCATCGGGCTCCCTGCTCCGTGGGGAGCCTGCTTCTTCTCCCTCTGCCTGCCACTCCCCCTGCTTGTGCTTTCTCTGTCTCTCTCTCTCTGACAAATAAATAGAATCTAAAAAATAAAAAAGTTAAAAATAAAAAAAAATTAAGATGGTTTGGGGCAACAGGCTGGCTCAGTCAATAGAGCATATGACTCTTGATCTGGGGGTCATGAATTAGAGACTCACATTGAGTGTAGAGTTTACTTGAAAGTAAAAATTAATAGGGGTGGGGCACCTGGGTGGCTCAGTCGGTTAAAAGTCAGCCTTTGGTTCAGGTCATGATCCTGGGGTCTTGGGATTGAGCCCCACTGGGGCTCCCTGCTCAGTGGGGAGTCTGCTTCTCCCTCTCTCCCCTGCTTGTGCTTTCTCACTATCTCTCTCAAATAAATAGATGGATGGATGGATTGATAGATAGATAGAGGTGCCTGGGTGGCTCAGTCAGATAAGTATCTGCCTTCAGCTCAGGGCATGATCTCAGGCCTGCGATCAAGACCTGTGTTGGAATCCCTGCTCAGTGGGGAGTCTGCTGCTTCTCCTCAGCCCCTCCCCCCAGCTTGTGCTTGCTCTCATGTATGCTCTCTCAAATAAATGAAATCTTTGGGGGAAAAAAAGATGTTCGGTATCTGCTGGCTAAGACAAAAATACACTTAAAAAATTCTTTTAACTTCTGAAATGACATGGTTTCTAAGTCACCGATATTCTTGGTCAGTATTTGAAGGAAATCTTTTTTCATCCTTGGGCAGCTTCACTTCTTCACTCATCAGTGTTCTAAGTTATAAAATGTGGATAATAATTGTATCTATTCCATAGATATTTTGAGATTACTAAAAAGAGCTTGTTAGTGTCTGACATTTATTATGCCCCAATAAATGTTAGCTGTCCTTAGTATCTCAAATGAGCAAGTATACATAGGTAGTCTACTTGCTTTATAGAAATTAGGGCAAGAAATTTGGTAGCATACTACTGCTACTGTATCAGGCTATGAAAACAAACCAAGTTACTTCTTTGGTATGCAGAATTTTGAAGAGAGGCAGTAACACCTGCAGGTTGACACCAAGTGGTGGAGTAGAACAGAGCTGGAAGGCAGACTTCAGGTCCGATGCAGGCCAGTGCGCCGTTTGGCGAGAGAGCACTGCGGGGCCGTCATCTTCACTGGTGTACCCCTGCTGTGTGTCAGGAATCCGTGCGCTGCCTGAGAGTATGGTTAAGTACTGATAAATGGTAGTAAGATGATTAGAAGTAAGATTAAAACATCATGCTAGGGAATTACTTGTAAAAGCAATGTCATGCTATATTATAGGTTCGAAGTCTGGTCGGCATTCTGTTGGGACATTGTTCTCTGCGGCATTTTACTGTTCAGAATAGTTGGCAGGAGACCCTGTAAAATCTTTAATCATCTGTGAAACATCATGAGGCTCACTGTACTATGTTTGCAAAAGCAGAAACAAAACATACTGAGCATTGAAACAAAGAGTCATGTTGTTAAACCCTCATCAGAAGGCAAAATTAACTAGAAGAAATGGTCACTCTGATTTTATTAAAATTTATTAAACTTCAGGCTTGAAAAACAGCATTTCCTGAATGAAGCCTGAGCAGCATAAGCCATTCTTACCAAACATTAATGTTTTAAGCTTACTTATAAAACCACTGATGCCTACATAAAGACTGCATGTGAGTAGTCATTGCAGTATTATTCGTAATGGCCAATAACTGGAAATAGTACGCACCAACTGGTGAATGAATAAACAAAATGTATATTTCTAATGGAATACTAGTTGGCAATAAAAGGGACACACTTTAAATTACTGAGGCCCACAGGACATGCCAGTTGTGTAACATTTTTTTCAACTTTTATGAAAAAATTTAAACAGGGAAGCTCAAAAGACCAGTACATTGATCACCTATCTGCTCATCACCTACATTTGACAGATAACATTTCTAATATTTGCTTCCTCTCTATTTTTGCTAGGAAGCAGTTGAAAGCAGCTTGACACTTTGTTGAAATACTTAAGCATGCATTTTTAAAAATACCTTCTCTGTAAGTAGCATTATTGCACTTGGGAACATTGACCAGAATTTCCTGATATTTACTACTCAGTTCATATTCAAATTTTTCCGGGGAGAGTTGTGAGCCAAAGGTCAGACCCGGGGTTGGTATAATTTCATATTTTTTATTTTATTTTATTTTATTTTAATTATGTTAGTCACCATATAGTACATCATTAGTTTTTGATGTAGTGTTCCATGATTCATTGTTTGCATATAACACCCAGTGCTCCATGCAATACATGCCCTCCTAATATCCAGCACCGGGCTAACCCATCCCCCCATCCCCGATAATTTCGTATTCTGTGAAAGCAATTATCATTAAGGATTTAAACTGACACTTGTGAAAAATATACATGTGGTCACTGCCATCAAACTGCTTTAAGGAACCCTGACAGGACAAAAATATCTATGCAGCCCTGGATGCAAATTGAAACTAGGTAATTGCAAGTCCCGAGTAGCGCTTGATAGTAACCTGTCTGCAGTCTTCCTTCATTGTCAGCAGGGACTAGAGGCAGAACCAGGTGAATGGTGGCGGCAGAGTGAAAGCAGGTCTGTATGCCCCCAAACCTGAAGTAACATTCAGATTTGGGTTATGCATGACTCCTTTTCCTTTGCATGCCCCTGAGTAGGTACTTAGTAGTAAATGTTGAGCAAATACACAGCCCCTGTTTTGAAAAAGGTGAGTGTGGAGCTCAGAGAGAAGCAAGAATGTACCTGAGTAATAAAATCAGAGAAGAGGGTTCCATGAGTTCGGGTTGAGGTGGTGGGCAAACAGCCCAGAATACACTTGGGAATTTTGAAGGACAATTAAGTCCAAGCTTTCCAACAGAACTTTCTGCAAGACAGGAATATTCTATGCACTGTCCAACATGGTAGCTACTAGCCACATGCAGCTATTGAGCACTTAAGGCTAGTGTGACTGAGGAACTGAATTTTACATTTTACTCAATTTAGATTTATTTATTTATTTTTAAGATTTTATTTATTTGACAGATCACGAGAGCAGGAACACAAGCAGGGGGAGTGGGAGAGGGAGAAGTAGGCCTCCTGCTGAGCAGGGAGCCGAATGTGGGGCTCCATCCCAGGACCCTGGGACCATGACCTGAGCCAAAGGCAGACGCCTAATGACTGAGCCACCCAGGCACCCCTCAATTTAGATTTAAAAAGTTAAATAGCCACTAGTGACTAGTGGTTACTGGATTGGACAGCACAGCTCTCAGCTGCCAACACAAATGTCCTGCAGGTCACTGAAATAAGGATTTCAGGTAGATTAACTGTTGACAAAAGCAGCAGTAGTGATAGGACCACTAATCAAAATTTGGTCCCCAAATTTCTGGAGTTTAAAGATGTATATCGTTTCCTACACATCACTTGAGTTTTTCTGTGTAATACAAGTTCCATTTTTAAAAAATCTATCTCGGGTTCCTGGGTGGCTCATTTGGTTATGCCTCTG